AGGGTAAATTAAGGGAATGCAAACTCTTTTACTATTGCATGCAAGAGCACCTTAAAAATAGATTAATGTTGCAGTGGGCGGAAGGCTAAAGAACTCAATATAGGTGGGATAATCAAAATTTTATTAGTTTGACAGTAATAGACTGACTCAGATGTAAATAAAAGAGCGGTTCTCTACTAATGTGTTGCTTTCAGGTTTTCCTGGGCATATACAACTGTATGGGTAGATAAATTATTGACTGGACCTTAAATTTTGAGTATGCTTGGTAATTGGACCCAAATTGCCGAATACCTATTTCCTATTTCATGGATGGGAGCTTCTAAAAGGTTTCATTATCCATTCTCCGATACGCAGAAACTTGAATTGCACTAGTCCTGAACAATTCTTTCTTTCTCATTCCCCACCTTTAGGGTAGTGCTTCCGATTTTGCCTCGAAAGAACGATACGATGAGATTAAGGTAAGTGTTATCGTCCCTTTTAAAAGTGTTCTCCTTTTTGGGCTTGGACGAATTCTCACACCTCTCTCCACCGTGCATATTTTCAGGCCTTCTACCAAGAGCACGACGTGCCCTGTCCAAGGGTGATTCAACAGACACTAGAGTCGGTGAATATCAATGTGGAACAATGGAAACGTAATGCAAAGTCATTGGGCAATTTTTTGCGCAAACTTGTTTGTTAATGGAGATGAGAGTTTTCCCCTTTCCCGCCTTCTACATCCTGAATTCCCCTTGTTAACTTCTTTGGTAATTTCCTGGAGAGCAAAATATTTTACAAATTGTTCCGTAAAACCGAACCTATGAGTCATTGAATGTATTGAATTTGTGGTGAGCCTGGTGAACTGATGCTTAGATGGATGTGCGAATAAACGTGTTCATTATAAGTGATTTGATGCTTGGAGAAATGTGGTTATGGAATGGGAGAAATGAAGGGCTGGATGAAGATACGAGCAGATTAACAAGAAGCTAGGCCGGCTTCTTGGTTCTTTAAATGCATTTCCAGAAAACGGGCATTGGCATCTGAGTTACCACTGGAGGGGTTGTAGGGTACCCCATCATGCGTAAACCGAACAAGTGTCAGTAGGCTGCTACACCACCTTCGTGGGGCTTGAATTGGAGGGGTTGAGAAAGACTGGCTGCGCATTACTGCCTCTAGTCCGAAAGATTTTGGGAGGGAGAGGGGAAGTGTGAAGGCGAAATACCGCATCTCATTATCCTTTGCATTGATCTCGTATTTATCTAAGCAAAGTGGGATGACTATCACCCTGTTTTGGCAATGCACAATCACATTATCCTATGCAAAAGAGGAGAGATTTGGTTCGAGAGAGCAGTAGATTTGGCCAAACTGAGGTTTGTTTGTTGTTGTTGTCGTTGGTGATTTTTTCAACGACAGAGGGGCCTGCCTCCAATTGCAAAAGAGCATTTCCATTTTAACATCATTCTGGTCATTGGTCAAATGCTTCCTTGGTGTCATGAACACTGACCCCGCTCACTCGAAGGTGCTGAAGGCGCTAGCCATGCAATGACGTAGGTCCTGTGGTCACCGAGGGTGATACCCGAAAAAGAATAAAAGAGGAGGACCGAGCAACAGCGGCATTTATCTTCTTCGCACATGCAAAATTCGTAGACGCCTTAGCCTACGCAGGTTGTGATTGCTCTTAGCGATGTGTTATGGTTTTGTGGTGCTGAAACACTTCAGTTTCGCTACAAATTAATATAAATCAAGATTGACAGGCAGGAGGTTAAGGGGAATCGATGGATGCCGCCCACATGCCACATGAACACACTATAATGAGACCCCGATTCAAGAGCCATCATTGTGTTCTTCTGTCTGCAATTCCTTTTCCGCCTGCACGATAAGAGTCCGTATTGAGCACTTGCTTGCTGACTATATGCCTAACGAACTTAGAGCTAGAGTTTTTTACCTTTCAACATTTGTTAGACAAACTTACAATGTATTGGTTATACCTTATTTATTACCTTTTTAGCTCATGTCTCCACACTCCTTGGGAAATCCGTACCAGCCATAGAGGATTATTTCCACTTCGTGTGTGTGTGGTGCACAACAGACGCAACTGTACATCAAGAATTGCTCGCATAGTGTAGATTTGCTTCCTACTACCCAATGCAATTGGAAGATGTGGATCAGACCTGTGGCATCGGAAACGCGCAACACTAGTCATCTAGATGGCAGAAAGTCAAATTCCTTATTTGACAAGACAACTCAGAACCACAAATCTAACCGTGAGAAGACTTTATTGCAGTAATTAAGAGTAGGAAGGAGTAAGAGAGGAAGTCCTTGCCCTCCCATTGTCAAATACTTTTGACATCGCCTCAACTTGGGGAATCCAGTTGATTATGCTAAGTCGCAATGACTGAGGTGAGCGCGTACTACATTATTTTAAACACAACCAGGTTGGTATAAAGACCGCTCAAACTAACAACTACGAATAACATTAAGTGACTTCTGGGTCAGTGATTTTAGGTAGTAATCTCCCTCAAATCAATGCGCTTTTTCATTGCAACTCGTTTTGGGTGGTCATACGTCATCTATGCGCTATTATGGTGTGGTATACCTACTTTACGTAGGCTTCAGAATGAATGGGTGAGATGCATCATCCACGCTCTTTCTCCTTCCTCTCACTACACTGCTACGTTCAGCTTGTTCGCAGTGCTCACTACAGTCCTGAGACTTATCTCACTTCCGTCATCCATCATCCGCATAACTCGCCGCTTGTCAAAAACGTCATCATGCCCTCGAGTTACTAACATACGTACTGACCTTTTTAGTGTGCCCGGGCATTCAAACACAAAATTGCATCGATACCCACTCGACATCCCAAATATGCAGCCTGGATACTGTGCAGGGCTTAACTGTTTTTCCAATGCGTACACTGAGGATCCCGACTACAAAAACCTCGTAGTCAAGTGATAATTCCATGATTATTAGGTGCTGTATTGAACAGTTGACTTCAAAACGCACAATGACCATCTTGGCGGACACAACTCACAAGTGATAAAATTTCCTTAACCGCACCATACAAGAAAAGTAGTAAACCATACACTCCTCTTTGTCAAACCATCTTCAAATCGTCTTCCCTGATGATCACCTTGACAACTGCTGTCAAGGTCTTTGGTCATATGATCTCTGAGAATCGTTCGAAAGTAGCTCGCGGTTCTTACATTATCTTGGGAACTGACGCTTGCACCATTAGTGTTGTTGAGCGGGTGATTGACCCTGGCCAACAAGATAGATATATTTCGACGAGAGGAGTGGTTACCTTCACACTTTGGTATCTCTGGCTATCCAAAAGCCGAAGTATATGTTGCCCTTGTTGAAACCCCTGCCACGTGTTATATGATCGAACCGGCGTATCAGCACAACTATTTCCCCATTCTGTTGATAATGTTCGCCTCTATGATGGGACTCCCTCAAGGCTATTATTGTAGGAAAAATTTGCTGAGGGGCTCTTAACTGTCCAGATTTCTCCAATTTCTTGACGCAAAGTGTAGTAGGGAAAGGATATATCATTTTAAATCCTACAAAGTAGCATTTAAAACGGTTTCTATCTTGGTGTGAAAATGAAATTTAGTAAAGCCATCCAACCGCAACTTAATCTAACTATGGATGTATGGATGAATCAGCTCGCTCGATGGAACATTGACTATTCCTCCCTAAAGCAGCGAAGTACGTCCACCTGGAAGTGGTAAATCGCAGGCAGTTATATCATTCATTATTGAGAAGCGAGCCTCTTCTCACTTCCCATCCAAATCGAAGTTGGCCGTGTCAGCATCCACAGAATTAAAGTCCGAATCCGCAGAAACATATCCAGTTTCATCTCATCCATCTTCGGCAGGTCTGACCCTGCCGACACTAACACAGCGTGTACGTGATACACGTGTTATCAGATCTTCAGTGATGTTCGCAGACTTGTCGCCTCATAGCTCGAACATTCACCGGGGATTCTCTTGTCATTTTCAGGTCAGCGCTCTGAGCACGGCTACGGAGTGAGTGTGGGGTGAGCGCCTTGGGGGAGGTAAGAGAGCTGGTGCCATCTAATCAGCAGTCGTAACCATCCAGTCCAGGCATAGGATGACTCACACATATCCAGACCATGCCATTGTATTCATGACCCAGACACTAGCCGCACTCACTTTAGTCAACCCTACCTGCATGTAAGCTCTGCTCTGTCTACCAAACAAATTCCTCACCAACTCATTTCACATCACATCTCACATCACGCATCCTACCACGCCACATTAAATCACATCAAGTCATATCGCATGGCAGCAACTTCCCTCACCAGCCTCCATTTTTTAGTCGATAGTTCGAAATTTGCTCACTTTTGTGAGCAAATACAGCACATTCAAAAGAGCCAACTGTGTGTCAGGTCTGTTTTGAAGTCGATGTTTACAATAGGGCTCATAAATAGAAGCCCTTTTCTTCGCGTCGTCCTTATAACAGTGTGGTTATCTTCATTAGATATCATTTGGCAAAGACGGTGATGTATTTCCACAACCTGTAATCCTTCTCTCCTTCTCCACCCATCCACTCATGCACCCATCCACACACTCGCCGACACATCCGTCTGCATCAATTTGGTAGCTGCCTATTATGCTCACTTCACCATTTTGACGACACCAGTTATAAAGTGATGCAGCATTTCGTCACCCATTCCTCTGGAGTAAATAAAGACGGCTTCCTCTGCACTGCTCTGAGTGTTCAGCATGCCATCTGATTGATGCTTATGATGTCTATCGCGTAGAACTTGACGTCATCTGCTCGATGAAAGGTATTTTGTGATGGTCCTAGGGACAACTATCCAAATGTTATGTTCCTTCTGGAGAATTGACATCTTTCAATAGGCAGGAGCGCAGTTCTACTAACCTGCTGGCAGTAGACACCGCCTTCAGTTCAGTCATCTATGGTCGCATGCGAATGGTAAAACAGATGAAAACGCTTCATTGGAGGTGGAAGTTTAAATGGAAGTGCACGTGCCTGGGGAAGGAAAAGGGCAACCGCAAATCATTTAAACGAAGTGTGGCTGTGTTTGTAGTATATTACTGAGCCTATTACCGTCACATTTGGGACTCCAAACAATACGTTCCATAGATGGGCTCACACTTCACACAGATGTGTGGCATAAGTGATGAAGAAGAGAGGTGGAAATTAGAAATGGTGACGGCAGGTGCCCTATCGGAATGTCAGGGTAGCGAGGTGACTGGATCCTGGGGATGTTGTTTACACTTCTTGGAAAAATTGGAAGTGGAGAAGGAAAGTGCGTTGATCAATTCGCATCACAGCAGCGCTGTTTCTGATCTCACCCAGCTGTGGCAGAGCACTTCCCCTGTGCGTCTTCATGGCATTCTGAGTGCTACACTTCTTCTCCGTTACCTCTACCATACCGGAGGATGTAGGCGTTTTTATCCACGGCGCGTGGATTTCAGCACCGTCACGTAGGCCTGCACTGTGTTCAACACATTTACTCCACTGCCCAAAAATTGAAAAGTGTCTCTTATCTCCCTCCACTTTTACAGTGAACGCTGGCCTCTTCAAACTTCCTGCTGAACAGACCTCAAAATCCTCTTCCATGGAAATCATCTGGTTCCACTCCTCAGCATTTCCAGTGTGAGTGGTCAACACAAACTGCCCCTTTTGGGATATAAAGGCCCAGAATTATGGCAAATGTGATCAATGTATTCGCGATATAACCAACTTAACTTTTGCGTCTGAAACAGCGATGACAAAATACAAGAGTCCATGAGATTCTAAGGACCATGTTCTGACTCCTGATTATATTGGCTGCTCTTGCATTTGTACATGTGAATGCAACCCTGCGGCGTCGAAAGCTGCGCCCACCTTAAAAGTTATTAGCCAATGGACTGGAGAATCACCATCTTATTAAGCTGTGAATGCGTTCTCTTTTTCGTACAGCTGTGCTTACGATATTCTAAGACTAAATGAAGCCTGCTTGATATATGCATGGGTAGAAGTATCACCCGAGAGATTCCGCAATTTTCACCAATTTGAAATGACTACATAAAAGATTAACTATGAATCACCAAATAAATCCCAATGACATTAAGGTATTGAAGATTGTGGTCAAAGAGCTTTACACTGTAAAATAATTATGTAATCAACGTCATTAACAATCCTTCACGTACTAATAAATAGTTCCTCGGTTTCGCTGTTCTTCTCTACAGATCAGACAGTAGTAGCTAGGTCTGGAAGCAGTACCGACATGTTCAAACGGTTTCGCAGCTATTATGTTAATCACGAAAGCACTATTACTTGCTGTGTAGCAAGTACTTAACGATATTAAAGTCATAGGCGGAAGAGTGAGTGGAGGATACAATAGCCTTGCACATACCCTCCGATCCACCCACCCTCTGCTGGCTTTTGTACTAATGAACGCAATTGCACTTATCCACCTTCAGACAAAACTATTGACACCGCTTCCATTGCCGCCATTATCACTACAGCCATTAAAATACTCCTCTTCCAATGGAATTTGCTAATTCAACTTTTTTGTGCTTTTACCCACAAGAATCAATGCCAGGCAAAGCCTGTAGCTGCTGTATAGAATGGCCAAATGTGAAAGCAGGGAGGAGTGGATCGGAATATTGTGGTGTGAATTGAAATATGGAGGTGGAAATGTGGAAAAGTGAGCCAACAACCCCAATTATTTTCACGATCGTTGCCCAGACATGTATCCTCCCTACCCAATGTGACATAACCAGGGGTTTCTGCGCCATGTAATTGCTGGCATCAGTTCCACCCACTCTTTTTATTTTCGCTTTTTAAAATGAAATGTACATTTGATTCCTGCTTTCTTCCCTAAAAGCAACCTCACCCATCCTTACCAAACTCCTTCCATTTACCCATTCCTTTCACTCTATATGCTACCAACCCGCCCTCCATACATACAGCTAGACTTGCCCACATATCTAATCACTTCTTACTCTCGTTCCTGATTTCCTACCATCTCCCTGCTAATTAGGTTGCCGTCCTTACTTACCCCCTTTCAAGCCCATTTGAGGAGTGCCGAACGCAGTTACATATGCACCTGCAAAGTGAATAGCTTCTAGATGTCACCACATTCACATTACATGAAGCATTAGTTTACTCCTGCATCCTTTCTCTGCGCACTTGGCTATTAGTTAAACAATTTGTGTTACATTTTCCTTAGATTTGCACTTCAACTAGAGTCGATTAAGCTCTAAATTTAATTTTTATTAGCCCCATGATTGGTGAATGAAAGTTGCTCCGATCTTGCCAATTATTTCCAAAATCGGACCAGTTTCATTCCTTCCCTATTTGCCTATTAAAATCCCACCATATGTGCCGTTCGCATGGCTGTTGTGTTCCCCTTGGAAGTGCAGAACATCTATGCAGTTACTGGGACCACACTTATAATTTCCTGTTTCCTATGACTTACGAGGTCGAGGTTGATTCAGCATAGCAGATGGCTTCAGTTGGTAAGCTATTTTACAGCTCAGTGGTTTAGAGAACTAGAGAATGTTCGATCCTACGACATGAACTGACGCATTTCTTGAGTGTCTATATGACTTCCAAATTTTTGGGTTGCAAACCCGAGAACCACTATTACCCAATCGTACATTTCTAGCTTAAATTTTATTGTCTCTTAATCGTTTAAATTTCTGTTCTTCAGGCAATGAATACAGCTGACATCAGTCTATGATAAACTTTGGAAGAAATATTTGCTACTTGTCAATATAAGTAGGAATATTGTATTGTCTAAGAATAAATGCAACTGATTGCATCAGCAAATCGGAAGTATCTAATAGAGGTTAAGTTCAATTCCTTCAATATTCCAGAAGCCTACATCACTATGCAGGTAAATGCGACGCTTTTGTCGTATTTTAACCACCTTTTTATACACTTTTAATTACTTCTTCAGAATGGGTTCTTCACGGATTGTTTTTTTAAATTTTTCGCCTAACACTGGCTCTTGTAGATTCTTGGAGATCCAGAACGATTGAAGAGCTATTCCATACGTGTATAGTTATTAATAGTTGTGATGATGTGACCCATGTTATTCCTGCCGTTAATGGGAATGCGGTTAGGTTTTGCATCAGGCACATTCCTATCGCGGGCACGGTTAAAACCGCCTTCATTCAGCAACCGATGCTCCAGCAGAAATCGGATTTCCCTTCGGAATTATTAATGAGAGTGGGAACAAATTTTAAATGATCGAGATCATCCATCCTAGATCCAAGCATTCAACCACTTCAACATGAATAGACGGCTGATTTTGGACATTCACCTAAATTTTAGTAGAAGTTGGTCATTTTGAACAAAGAATTTCATTTCCCATTTCTGTTGCCTAGTTTTCGGACATTCTGCTGCCGCTATTCATTATGGCTTTACTCCTTCTTGTGATATGACGAGGGTCAATTGCATCAAATTTATGGAATTTGTTGTGACGAAAGAACGATTACTCGGATTACAAGACCGATTACGTTCTAATTTGCTTTTGCCGCTGCAAAGCTACCTCCCCGTCTGTAAGGACATTGAATAAAAATTTATAAAATATGACTCAGAATTGCAGAGGTGGTTCTCCGTCAAGAACGTCTTTGCGTATCCCAAATGGGCGCTTCCTCTTGCTTTAATTTTTGCACATTGATGTGCCCCTTCCTTCCACTATTGACTTCTCTCTCTTCACTGATGTGAGCAACGCCTTTGAGCATCGTGTTTACCCTCCATTGCAGGTTGCTAATCGAGACTGCACTGAAGTGGTCAGTTCTGTTTCCAAAAGACTTGTCCTAAATTATCCAACTGACGCACGACGCGGTCCCAATGCTGTGAGGTAACCAGCCTGTCCATCTGTCGTCCCAATTCACCTTTCAATTTGAAACCACTATTTGCACCTTAGTGTCAGCTCCCTCATATCCCTGGCTGCCTTCCCTTTCATTTTTCCTTCATCAATTTTCCCTTGTTTCCTTGCATCCTTGTCCGAGGTATAACCCAATTTTCTGTGTTCGTCCAAGATTCCATCCATCCATCTACCGAGACACACACCCATATCCAAGTCTCCATTCGAGTTCTGACTGGATGGAGTAAGCAAAATAACGAAAAATCCGTCTGTTCATCTATCTATGGAAGCACGGAATTATACCAATTTTAATAACCTTCATAACAGAAAATTTTTTAAGGTCACAGATTTGTTAGGTGTCTACATTCTAAGATGTGCAGTGGGGACTTTTCCTACGAGCACTGAAATCTATTTTAATGGACACCTGTAAGTCTTTTTTTGGTAAGAGCCTGTTTTCTGCCTGGGGATAGATAATCTTTAGAGGCACCATATCCCAAACTACCCACATGTGGCGTATACTTTGCTTGATTACCTGGAGCGTCTGCACGCTTTTTCAGTTTTTCCCCATCTGACTAACCTCACCACGACGAAGAGGGAATAGATTTGTGATGAATTTAGAGCAAATAATTTTGGAATACTGGTGAGATGATATCTTTTGCGTGTTCAAAGAGGTGCGCAATAAACGCGGTGAATGCAGAAGTAATACAGAACTTTCCTCCTCTTCCCCTCCCCCTATACTTCCCAATACTGACAAACCCTCGTGAAGTCCACAACTAAGAACTGTAACCTGCGAAATGTACACCATGTATAATGATTAAAGGGTCAAACTCGCCTGTGTGTGAGGATAAGCCAATCGTGAGGCGACGGTGCGTCGTGTCATTCTGATGCGATGGTGACTGTCACCTAGAGTTTCGCAGAAGAATAAGGTTAACTGGAGCGTGTGGCACATAGGACTCAATACGTGCAAAGTAGAACCAATTTTACAAACAGTAGAAATGACGAGGTACATTTCATTTGAAGGGCGGAGCGTGATATCAGTCTATGCCCTCTTTCAAATGAGGAGAAATCCTAAAATAAATAATGGCTTTTTCAGAACACAATAGGGCTAGTTACATCAACCACTTTTAATTGAAGATGAAAGCATTCGACCATAAATTAGTCGACAACTTAAATAGCGGCATCGCCACTACCGTTGATGCTGGCCTTCTGAGTAAGAACCATTGTCCGCTTCCACTACTGTACTTCACTGAGGCGTTTCGTCAGACCTAATAATAGCGTACCAGTATGGAAGGCGATTTCTCTTTGACTCATTAAAGGGACACAAGGATGGATGGTTGATTAATGGGTTTCACCTTATCAATTCATTAACACCCCAAAACTCACCCACCAGTCCGTTCCCTTTATTTGGCCCTCTTTTTCCACCTACAACCCTCCTCCCTCCTTCCTTCACACTGAATTGGACACTTCGATAATAGAACAGAGAAGTGTCCAAATGCAGAAAATATATTCGACCTAAAAGGCCAAACCAAGGATGGAAATGCTAAAGAGTGCCATATTTGGTAAACAATTTTATTAGTAGTCCTTCTCATCTTCATTTACCTCACTTTCCTCCCTATGTACGATTATGCACGATATTCGGCAGAAGTAGAAAATGACAGAGGCAAGGCACTTTTAAATCTCATAAAACTACCCGCAAAACATGCCGTCCAAAGGCGACACCACACGGCGCGTGCCATTAGTCGATTTACAAACATGCCGACTGCGAGGAAGTCAATCACGCAACCAACCGCCGGACA